CTTCTCTCTCAATCATCTCTCTCTCTCTCTCTCTCTCTCTCTCTCTCTCTCTCTCTCTCGATGCAGCAGTCCTTTTGTCACAACCCTGGTCACTATTTCTTGCCTGTCTATCGCCATACGAGACCATGAATAGATATGAGAAAAAGGTCTTTCTGGACATTTCTTGTGACGCAAATAACTAAACCTGGCATACCAATGTGGAGCCAGCGAATGAGCGCGCACATCACGTGGCTGACGCTGCTGACGCCGAGGGAGGAGGTGAAAGTGGCGAGGGAGACGGCGCGGGAGGAGGAGGAGGCGAACGCATGTAAACACAAGCTGCTATCTGCGTTCTGTTCTCTATCACTCGCTGGGAAGGGAAGCGTCACAGTTACTAATCTCGGGCATCTCTCGGTTCGTCTCATATCCACTGAACGTGTGATGCGCACTTCCGTTATCTCTCTCTCTTGTTGCTGTCAAAAACCCGTGACCACCGTAGCCTCTTGTCGCCCTGGAAGTCATTTCGCAGCAGGTGATGTTGCTGTCGGTCCATCCTCTCGCGCTTCCTTCCTTCCTTTTTTCCTTTGATTTTTGTGCGCTTCCCATTGTTTCCTTTGTTGCGTCCACAGGCACGGGCCGCCTGAGGAGCGGAAGCAATCGAAAGCCAGTAGAAAAAGTCCAGAAAGGTAAGGTAATGAGTTAATGCTAAATATTCCGTAAGTAAGCCCAGGGTTTCATTTTCCACATTGTGATTTGCTTGTAAGGATTTGAAAGGGGCGCGGCGAGGGTACGACTAGTACGACCTTCCCCGAAACGCTTGTCGCCGAATGAAAGACCGACACTAGCCAACTGCTGCGCCCGAATCGCTTCAGGGTGCTGGGCTTGCGACAATGTATAGCAGACATTTTTGTTTGTGGAAACAGTCAAGTGCACTTTATTACTAAATACGTTATTCTAGGCAATTGTTTAGAAATGAAATATGCCAACAGTGCATATTTTAAGACAAGACAGAAGATACAACGCTTTATACATATGCCATCCACACAGGATGAACACAAAGGGACGTAAACAGCGGTGATTTCACTTGAAATAAAAAGGTGGAAATGAGGAATCAACAATGGAAGGGCGTCTTGACGAAACAAATGGCGGTTCAGCTACAAAAAGTCAGCAAATGGTATCAAAAGGAGACAAAATTTATATAGGCCTTGCTGGCTACCTTTCCAAAATATCTATTCTATATTACTATATATATGGCACGAGCTCTTATGAAAATAATTACAAACGATTATCATTATCTTGGATACAACCGAACAAATCTCATGAATCATGGAGCTGCCACCGAAATCCCGCGCTCCGCCTCCAGCTTCTGACCTTATTCGTATCTGTATCTTATCGAAACATCCGCCCCTGAATGTGGCTGGCGCGCGCGCGCGTGTGTGTGTGTAAATATGAAATATATATATATTATATATATATATATATATATATATATATATATATATATATATATATATATATGTTGTGTGTGTGTGTGTGTGTGTGTGTATGTGTGTGTGTG